GTATCGAAGCGTACCGCCCGTACCGGGCGGTACGTACCGGTCCGACAGGTTATCGGTACGCGGACCGCTCGGTACCACTACAGTGCTACAGTACTATACTGTAGCACTGCTACAGTATAAAAATAAAAAAATATTCGGTACACTAGGGCGTACCGCTCTGTATGCCTTGATGTACCGCCTGGTACATCGGTACCGTACTATACCGAGCCTGGGTCGAAACGTCGGTACGGTACGGTACAACGAACCTTGTATATATATACTGAACGGTATACCGCTCAGTATACTGTATCGTACCGTACCGAGTAAATGTCGAAACGTCGGTGCGGTACAATATTTCAAACCTTGCTCTCAACCATAATTTAATTTAAGAAGGTCCATGTAGCTGGCCAAGGTAGTTGCGACCTAATGGCTTGTTGTTAATCATTTTTGTAGGTATTGGTTGCTGCACTTCCGAGTACATATGTAGACTTTGAAACGTAGTACTGCAATTGGATTTTCTGAGGTTTCAAATCTTGATTTTATCAGGTGGTAACAAATTGGGTTGAGCCTTATTTTTTCTTAGTGCAACCACTATGCCTGAGCATTTTGCTTGCACACTTCTACTCATAGGTGCCTTTAAAGCACCCTTTTGTGGTATGAGGACATATAGCTACAACCTAGTCCTATCCTCAGCTCAGTATGCAAGCTGCAACTCGCTTGTATAAAACAGAATCATTCGTAATTTTCGGTCAGCCATACGGTGCAAGAGGAACATTTGCTTGTCCCATCTTTTGTGCTTTTGGAATAAGCTACTTATTATTTGTGTCAGTTTAATTTTTCCTATTAGCAGATGTAACCAAATGAATTTCTTTCTGTTTTGGAGACATTGCAGGAGATTTTGTGTTTGCTTTAATTGATATTGTGAAGCATCTTTATATTGTAAATTTTCTCAGTTACAAGTAAAGATTAAAGGAGGACCATGCATCCTTGATTGTAGATTTGCTATATTCAATGTATTGAAGTCAACTAAAAACAAATTATGCTCCGCTGAGACAAACTTTGAGAGCTCTTGAGTTTAAGCCATATGCATTATTTGGATTAGTTTCCAATAAGTATGCAATCATAATAAGAGAAATCTAAAGGTCCCTTACAACAGGATATTATTCTTGTTAGCTATTGTGCCTGAAGCAAGAGAGATCAGTTGTATCTTCTTTTCTAAAATATGGATTACAAATGTATGATCTGCATTCATGACTTTGTGTTTTGTAATTTGTACTATATGGGAATGTGCTTCTGTGCTCCATTATACTGCAATTGGGAATGTGCTTCTGTGCTCCATTATACTGCAATTGTATCAATGTAATTAGCAGTGTGATAGGTTGCTATTTAAGTATCTTCTTACATGTCTTTCAGGATTCTGAAGATATTGAGATTATGGATATCTCGGATCCAACATTGATTGAAAAAATTAGTGAAGAGAGTATACAACTTTTCATGAGGTAAAAACTTTATTGTAGTTATAGATTATCTCATTATTGATCTTTGGCGAAAACTAATAAATATCGTCGCTGTTTGAATTTTCATAGTGCCTAAGACTGGGAAGGCATGATCCAACTTTAGCATATTTATTAACCTGGTTTGTTATGCTTGTTTTTCCAGCTATTATGCTTGTATTAGGTAGCTGCAATGTTGTTCATATTATATGTAATGATGACACTTGTAGTAATTTTGACTCTTAACTTCACACAATGGCCTTACTGTTTGCTTTTACAATTGTCTTCCTTGGCCAAACATTTGTGATTTGTGATTGAAGATTGCAAATCTTGAATGAAGATTCATTTCTCAATAAATGAAAGTTCATCATTCAAGAATTTTATCAAAATAGGAAGATTATTCTTCAAATTCAGAATTATTGCCTTTTTAAGAAGAACATATTTTGTATTTGATTTGATACCATTGTGCTAATTCTTATTTTTGTATTTTTTTTATTTTATTCTTGTACTTGAACCTATAAAAAGGGGCTAGAACATTGTAATATAGGGACCAGAAGATGAATCAATAAATTGAGTTCTTTCCCACCTTGTGTGTGAGCGATGCGAGGGCACAAGTTGCTTTTCTGATGAATGATTTCATCGTCCACAATATAAGACGTGCGAAGGTACAAGGCCTACAACCTGAGAGTTTTCTCCTTGTGCCAGAGCAAGTCTGATAGTTATCCAAATTTTTTTTATTATTTTTCAGTTATTATCTTTTGATACTCTTTCTATTTCTCTATTATCAAGAGAAAAATTCGCTACTACTCGTCTTACATCGGTGAATGTAGTAAGACAATTCATACATTTTCCTAAAGAGGTTCATTTGGTGGCCGTTCAAAGAATTCTTTGATATTTGAAGTCCAGTCTAGGAAAAGGCATCTTATTTAGAATAAAATGAATAGTTGAGTGTAGAAACCTACATCGATTGGATTGGATCAGTAGTTAATCAAAGATCAACCTCCGGTTATTGTACTATTTTAGGAGGGAACTTGGTGACATGAAGCAAGAAGCAATCATTAGTTGCTCGATCTATAGCAGAGGCACAATTCAAAGCCATGACACATGGTATTTGTAAGTTATTGTGATTGAAAATAATCCTCGATGATTAGGGAGTAAGATGGGAAGGAAATATGAAACTATATTGTGATAATAAGTCAGCTATCGACATTGCTTATAATCTAGTTCAACATGATCAAACAAAACATGTTGAAGTGGATTCGACATTTTATTCAAGAAAAGTTAGATGATGGATTGATCTATATTTCTATCCACAGGTAGACAACTTGCTGATATCCTAACTAAAGAACTTCCAAGTTGTTCATTTCAAGATATTATTGGGAAGCTAGGAATGGAAAATATTTACTCACCGGCTTGAGGAGTGTTGATTTGTGGAGATTGTTTCCTCATTTGTTAGGAAATTACTTTCCCGATTTTGAAAATATTATTTTTTTAATTCCAAGGAGAGTATCTTCTCAATTCAAAAAAAGTTAGTTTCCTATTTTTTTCAAGAGATTAGTTTCACGATTTTGCATGATTTAGTTTCTTCATTTGTCAAATTTATACCCTATAAATTCTGTTGGCTCTCTTAATCGAAAGTATCATGGAGCAAGGTATATAGTTTCGAATGATATCGCGCGGTACAAGCAGTACATATCGGTCCGACAGCATACTGGTATGTGGACCACCCGCTACCAGGTAGTATTATATATATATATACATATATACATATATATATATACATATATACATATATATATATATATATATCTATATATATACTTATATTCATATATATACATATATTCATATATATATATATATATATATA